AAAAAAAAAAAAAAAAAAAAAAAAAAAAAAAAAAAAAGTTGCCCAAAGAAAGACTTAAAATTTCTAACTACCTTACAAAGAAATGACCAGCTAAGCTAGTACTTTTTCCAAGGGAAATTCTGAAGGGGAAAAACGGATGAAACCAACTCATCAGCCCAGAAACAGAGAAAATACAAAAGAGGTGGTCTTCAAGTCAGTAGTCTGTATAATGTTGCCAGTTTTGTCAGATATATACAAAACATGGAATTATTTTTTTGAAGTACAGCTGGATGAGCTTTATTTGTTTTGAGTTCTGGAGTAGGAGGCAGTGCTCTCTCCTGTCCAGTTGGTTGACACTCCGCACTTGGAAGGTTGCATAGACACAGCTTTCAGCCAGCAGCCTTACAGGATAGCTACAAAAATCAGTGGTGCAGAACTGGGTCACTTCCTGAATATCAGAAAAGTTTTCATTTAATGTCCATGAAAAAATGTCAAGATGAAGAGGATGGCAATGGAGGAGCCTGAAAAAGAAAACATTAAATTACCTTTTCTACAAAGGTGTAGAATTCAGCTGTTTAACCAAATCTGTGCAAATGGTGAGCATGACAGTTTGAAGTCAAACACTATGGTTTTTATACACTGAGACTTTGTCCAGTGGGTATCAGCTTTTTTTTTTCTTTTTTTTCCAACTTATTCAACTACTCTATGTTAGGATTTTGCCTATACTGCACACTAGATCACACTGTGGGGACATCTGAGCAGATACTGCATGAGCTGCCAAAACAAGTCCTGTTGAAGCAGAAAAGAGCTCCATGTGGGCTTATGTAGATGTATCTTTATATACTCTAAAACAGGGATTCTCAACCTGTTTAGCCTGGGGAATGGGTGGATCATCCCTCTGCGGCTCTCCAAACATCCTGCAGGTTGCATTTTACTTCCTCGCTACATAAACATTAACATATAACCCTGAGGTTATCTGTGGAAAGGATCAAGATTCCCTGATATGGGGATAAAGCTTTTATTTACTTATTTATTTATTTTCAATTGTCATTAATTAGTGCCTTAAGAGTGCAGGTCCAGAAGATCCCTATTCCCCAGTATTGTTCTTTGTGGCATTATCACCAAAAATACTGAACTTCTGATGGCACCTCCTCTTCTCTTTTTCTACACATCAGTCCTGCCATGATGAGGAATCCCTTTAAGAAGCTGTCCTGTCTTCAAAGACACTGCAAATCACACTACAGTACTCAACTGTGCAATACTAATTCTATGTAATTCCTGCATTTACTCCTGATACTTTACCCCAAGCATCGAGCCTGTTAGTCCTACACCACCTTTGCCATCTGAGGTTATCTTTGTTCTGCAGTGTGCCACAAACCTCAACCCCTTTCCTGTAGGTTATGACTTCTCTCAATCAAAATTATAAGCCTTTTTAATAAGTGATACTGTGCATAAATTTCACTACAACAATTTTTAATGTTCTTTAGCACTGCAGGTGTAGGCTCTGGTGGGGCAAAGAGCTGTTTACAGGTTGAGAACCCTTGTTCTAGGCACAGTTGCACTACCACAATTACCTACATAATGATACAAACACAGACCTACCCCTCCCACTCTCCCTCATTCCTCCCTCTTTTCCATACAAAAATGTTCTTGCCCATTCCACTCGGATGTGTATCTCAGAATAGGTGTTTATTTAGATGCTGTTCTTGCAACATATTATCACTTCAGAATTGCAGTATTTTACCAGCTGTAATAACAATGGGCTTCTAAAAGAGTGAACACAAGTTCAGCCATCTCAGGCTTTGTTGAACCAATGAAAAGAACTAAGTTCAAAGGACAAGGTCCTGTGTTTTCACCAGCCTCAGCTGGTGAACCTTGAGGCATTAACTCAAAGGTTGCAACTTATCATGCCTGTATAACATGAAACAATTGTCTAAACATACACTTTCTGCAGCACCTGGAAATGAATCAAAAAGGCACAGCTGTTTCTGGGCTGCCGTATTTAATGCAACATGAAATTCTCAGAATGCTTTGTCCAATGTTTGTCTCCTTTGACAGAAAGGCAAGGCTTATCATAAATAAATCCAGCATCGCTTTCATTGTGATTACAAACAAGCCATCTTTGCCTGAAACAACGAAACCTGGGTGAAATGTTAGGACAGTTGTGCTGACACAGTTCAAAGCAGGAGGCTGCCATATATAGCACAAAGCTATAATGGCAAAGTGGCTTTTTGCTTTAAATTGAAATGCAAAGGAGGCCCCAAGCCAAAGACAGAACTGTTTGAGAGCATCCACTTGCTAAGCAGAAGGACAGTGCTGATTTGGAGGAGGGTGGGAAAGGGAGGGGGAGGAAGGGGTCTCAGTGCATAGGATGCTCTGCTGCTATACTGACTTCATACCACAACCAATGTATTAGAGATGCTCTTGAACCTGGTGCTAGTTTCTCCAAGCTTCACTGTCCTGATTCTTCCCATCTCCATCTGATCCAGTTATGGTCTCCAGGTGATCTCTATTGGATTTTTAAAGCCACAACTTTATGAATTGTAACATCATACTTTTCCTGAAAACTCAGTGGTTATGTTCTGCAGTAAGTTACTGTACTATTTCACATAATTCTGACTCTGCAGAGTTTTGTTCTGTAAATATCACACATAACCCAAACCTCCATTTGAATCAGAAAGTTCACGATACTCATACAATGGAGGACCAAGACAGCCTACAACTGCTTTACAAATAATGTATTTATGCATCCACTTATTAATTTGACTTACTAATGTAAATTGATCATAGACTTGCATCAAGTCCTCCATTTTGTACTGTTCTAGCACCACAAAATTTTCCAGGTTCGTGCTTATCTTTCGTGCACAGTCTTGGCAATGTACAACATAGGTCTTTCGAGAATTGCTCTCACTAGTGACAAAAAGCAGATCAAAGACTTCCACCTGTTAGATAGGAAACAGAAAGTCAATTGTTACAATTTCATTTGTAAAAAGTTAAAGAAAATACAGCTTTCAAGGTTTAAGATTTACAGTCTTATTCTGAAAATACAAAGAGAAAAAATAGGTTTGTTTAGGGAAAATCCATCCTCCTAAGGCTTAGGCACTGAGGTGAAATATTATAAAACCATTACTAAACACTACAATTAGGGTGCCTGTGCTTTTGGTCAGTGTTAACAAGGCAGGGTTCATACTCTGAATAGGGGTCACTCAGTAAGGTCAAGTATGTATTACAGTTATACCTAATTCCTCTTTTTCAAATTTACCTGTAAAAAGAAAGTCATAATTTATTCCCTTGCTACTCAGTTGCACATTCATCCTGCCCAAGAGGCTTGATCTGAAAATAATTTTAAGCTGATTTTCAGGTGGGAAATAGTTTATTTTATGCTTCACAAAGACTATTATTCAATACTTTAAAGAAGCTACTAATAGAAAGTAAAATTACAAACTTCAGTAAAGCATTTTCTGTGAAGAAAATGCACTTATATTCTTCCCTCTTTTGAAGCTGCTGTTGATTACTGGAATGAAGACAGATATACCTTTAGAAGGTAGCTGAGCAGATCAAATTATATGCAGGAAGGGGTAACAACTTCTTAGAACAACTGAGAATGGAAAACTGACCTCGTGAATAACAATTTCTATGCACTGTGGAAAAGGCAGCAGTATAATATAGCCTGTATTTAAAAAATAGCTTGACGACCTCTTTGAAGACAGCACTGTGTCACATCCAAGTGCTTACAGCATACTGTAGATGCTGCAGTTTATAGCAGCAACAAAAGATACGTCAAAATTTCAACAAACATTGCAGTAGTACCCAAGCTCAACATGTATTTATTTACTGACCTCACAAATGCTACAGTAATGAGCTGGCTCATCCTTTGCTCGCCCATGCCAGACAATTTCTTTTCCTGCAGCAATCAGAGCTTCCCTCAGTGTCTGACACTGTTTGAGAGTTCTTAACAAGCAATACCTGCAACCAAAATCAGGATCAGAAGACTGCAGAGGCAATCAGCTCTATATTCAATTCAGTATTACACTGTCCAGAAAAATGCAAACAGCCTGAATTTCATTCACGACCCTGGAGCTTGAGCTTCTTCCTCTAGGACTTTAGAAAGACTTGTCTATTAAGAATCACTGAGCATAAGCACGACTTATGTACGAGTTAGATCACATCATTATGGACCTCTGTGTACATTTATTTCATTTCTGCACATTTCTGTAATGTAATGAAAGTCAGTCTCTTAACAGGAAAAAAAAAAAAATTAACACATTTTATGAAGAGAAGAATTGGACAATTTAAAAGAAACGATTTCCTGTCATGCTTCTACTAAGGTTAAAAAAGAAAACAGCAAACTTTTAATCTTCAAAATAGGTCACCAGATCTCTAAGTTGCAATGTTATTTACAATTATTTTTAGTTCTTAGCTATCTTATTTATTTGAGCCACTGTCTGTGCAGCCTTTAATTTTCTCCTCCCCAGGGTGGTTACATTACATGTTCATTAGAGGCAGAATGAAGACTGAAAAATTTAAGGGGAAGAATAAACTCTGGACAGAAAACAAAGTACTCAAGAGTTCTGTCAAAATGTTTTCAATTTGATCTTTCTCCCATTTTAAAACCTTAAAAATGTCATATATATGCTCTGCACTTTTCTTAAATATTTGTTTCATGTGCTACCAAGCAGTTAACAGAATTTCAAGCTTAAATTGCAATACTGTCCTCCTGATTTTTTACACTCAGATCATCCATTTTCACCAAAAACAAGTCTACGGTGTCATTAAAACCCTCATAATAATAATGCAAAACCGAAAGTTTGCTTTTAGATTAAATGTATTTTCATATACTCATTTTCAATGAAACCAAACAGCTCAGTTAGTTGCAACTCCTCCGCACTTTTCTAGTTTGATGTTAATGGAACTCATGATGTCTCATGATATCACAAACGATCAACCATATGTGGCAGATCACACATTAATTCACTCAAATGTTAGGCGGATGTAGAAATGCTTATGCCAAGTTAATCAACTTTGGTATAACATTCTTTCGTGCAATCTAATCTGATTCAAAATAAACTTAAAAGCTACCATTGTAATGTTCTTTTCTGCTGTCATCTGGAACAGTCTTTGGGTATGTCAGATAACAGCTAGAAGGCCATCTACCCACTTGCAACCACTGTGTTCCATTCCTTACTTCCAAGAGTTTTCAAAGTGTTATTTTCAAAGCACTTCTGAGTGTTACAGCTGTGAAGAAAGAACTGCTCAAAGCGTAATCCGCATGCAACACCACTGTAATGTTTGCAAAATTTGCAAGCAAAGCCAAAAAAAGTAGCTAGAAGGTGAATTACTTGTCCTTAGACAAAATTCAGATCTGAGTAATGGCAATGTTAACTATTTCATGCTATCAAAGGAAGAGAGAGAGAACACATGAAGTATCATCTTGAAAATGCGTATCGCAAATTTCTAAAACATGAAAGTCAAAATGGTGTGCAGTAGAGACACAATGTTTAAGCTGAGTAGGCTTTTAGAATTGTGTGCCTGCTTTTATTCTTGCACAGTGGGAATTCAGTTAAAAAATCTGGACCATCATTCTCTCTCGAGGTTTTAATAGATATGACAAAGCACGAGCAAATCATGTCCAGTCAAATCCTGATATTTAAGAGGAGATCTTAAAACAGACACCACTCTGATATATTCTCTAAGTGTGGTGAGAAATCCATTCAACGTTTCGATATCCAGTAAAGCTTTGTAAATGCGGAGACCATCCCAACGGCAATGCAAAACTGATCTCATTATATCTCCCAGTGATTTATTTTCCCCATCGATATCAAAATGAATTCTATCTTGCTTCATGATTTTGTGCAAAATCATTTCTCCCATGTCCTGGTCTTCTACGCTCATAAAACTATTTTGGTAAAGGAACTTACTATTCCTGTTACTTTGGAATTACTTATTTTGGCCTTTTTACTATGTCCCCACTATCTCTAAAATTCTTCCTTTCCACATGACTTCTCATTTAAGTTCTGATGTTAATTTTTCTTTTCTCGAGCATTGTGCTGTCAGTCAAACTTTAAATCATTTTGTCTGCCTGCATTTCCAGTCAAGATTCTACTCTTAGTATAAAATTTAAAAAACAATCTCATGAGAAAGTTTTAGATTTTGCTCCTTTTATCTAGAGCAAGACGGCACTCCTTCAGACAATCATTTTGAGAGGAAAATTATGCAACTGCTCACCGATTGTAAGGAGGTTCATGAAGGTTTATGCACTTAAGATATCTACACAAGGCTAAAGACATACAGTAAACAGTATTCTGGTGACAGCTGCTTCTAGTTACAGCTGTACAATTACAGAAGGGATCACAAAGAAGAGTTGTTCCAGATTACTGTTACTAGATGTAACAAACTTAGAGATCATCACTGGGTCTTCTCCTCATGCAAAGCATGAAACCAGGGGACTGACAGACAACTAACAAGGCAGAAGTGGCTTCAGTAGCCTGGAAAATGCAATAGTATGCAAGATCAAAGTCTACATCAGCTCCTCAGTGACTTTATTTCTAAAGTACATCTAACAATTTAGGTATCTCACTACAGAAAAACTCAGCTGCTATCAAACCAGATGACAACAGGAAACCATTCTGTTCTCTGTATTCCTTTGCAACATTTTAAGATTTCTCTTGGAGAAAGATGCTATGCTCGGTTACGTTTTTCTCCTAAACCTAAACCATAGACAAAAAATGACTTAACTTTGCACAAATGCAAAATGGAGGTGCCGAATTATTAAAATAATATTTTGCAAAAAATATTCTACAGCTGTTCTGAGATTTGCAGTGCCTGCAGGACTAGAGAAGATAAATATACATATGAAATAAGGGCTTAGCTTTTTTTTTTTTTCTTAAAGGACGTCTTGGCTTCCTTTCAACCTCTGCTTCTTTTCCCCTCCTTTCTTATTTCCAGCAGTACACTATCGGTTTCTTTTCTTCCTTTTTAACACTTGCCACCTTGACTATGATCACTAACAGCTTAATTGAAGGGACAAAACTATTTTCAACTTCTAACACTTCTGTGCCTTTACAAAGTTAACATCTCGCTTATTCCCTCATTCTGCAACAGGTGTTCAAGGCTAAGTTAAACTCAAAATACTATTTGTAAAATGGTATCTCACTCAGATGTCAATAGTAAATTCTAGTAGGGGAAAAACTGATTTTCTTCACTCCTTTTTCGCAGGTTAACCCATCCATATTTCAAAGCCCATTTCAAGGCAAATCATAAAAGGACTCAATGCTTGTGGATCCAGTATGTTGAAAAGACTCAGATAAAAGCTCTTCTGGTTGGCTGAAGAAAAACAGAGAGCTGCCACCAGAGTATTGTCATGATGAGTCATTTGCTGTGGAACTCATTCTCCCACTTTCTTTCTGACAAGCCTATGATGGATGTACGCCGAAATGTCCATTTATTCCTCAACCTAGATGATTTATATTTGCTTCAAGTTGCACTCTTTAAAAAAACCTTACTAAAGATGCTTTGAGTCTGAAATGTTTCTGCATTTTGGAATAAGTGTTTAAGAAATGTCACTATACTCAATTATCATTTTACACATCAATTAATTCTTTGTTCTGAAGAAAGAGCAAAGGGAAGGTGACTTACCAGTTCTTATTTGTCTTTATTTAAAACATTCACACTGGATTGCTAAATGATGGTATGTGAGCCTTAACTAAAGAGGTGTTCTAAAAATGCAAAATTAATTTAAATTTTGCTGTAAAAATGACCATCATTATAAATGTAGCACTTCACTCGATTTGTTGTCTTATGGTCAGTCTAAAATGAACACGTTTAGTTATGTTGTCTGCTTCTGTAAGCTGCTGGAGTCTGTGGCGTATTTAACATCCACAAACGGCTTCTTTCTTTGAAGAATAGATTATCAAATCATTTTGGCTTGATTCTCAGAAGCCTTACAAAAGCCTATTTATAGATCTACTCATTTTATACTTGAAGAAGAAATGGGAATAATAAATGCTCAAGTAAAACTTACTTAATCATTTCAAAAAGCTTTGGATCTGAGACCTTGATATTTCGAGCCATATTCCATGAAAGATGAACCATGGGTACTATGGACTTCACGCTCTGCAGTTTATTCCATTCGTACCGTTCCACTGCCAATTTGTATTGACAGGCTATATAAAAAGAAAGTTACAGAAGTAGTTAGGTAACAAATAAGTACCACCTGAACTCAAAATGATTTCATTATATCAAAAATTTAGACTTCTTTGTGGTGAGACTAAACAGCATTTCTGAATAACTCATTCCCTGCAATATTTAAATTCTACAAAATTTATTCTTAAGCACGTATTTATTGTATTTCAGATGCTAAAAGAACACAAAGTATCACAGTAGTAACAACCACATGTGAAAACAAGGACTTGCTGACAACTATTCAATTCCTATGCTGAATAGAGTACGCATTTTCAAAAACTGTTACTTAATAATTTTCAAGCTTTTGACACACAAAAAATCTGCATTCGAGGTGTCTGTATCTTGCAGGCATTTGCAATGTCTGCATATTCTTTATCATTTCACAATGCTACAGTATGTAATTTGAAAATGAAGACTGCACCTTGAGAGACTTGTGCAGTGAGTCAGACTTTCTGATTAAGCAGCCTACTCACCCCACCCTTTTCAAAAAACTTGTTTTGCAGAATTTACTGTGATTGAACACATAAGCTCTGTATCAGTCAGTCACATAATCATGGAGATAAACTATTTATTGCACCATAATGAAATAAAGATACACCTTAAACTATTTAAGAAAACAGGCTTTTTTGGAAGTACAATCTGTTCAAATGCTTGATAGAATCTCCTTATTTTAGCTGTGAACTTTTCTTCCATTCTCACATCTAAAAGCCTTCTTAAATCATGGTTCAAAAATAATGACTACCAGAGGAGTAAACCTTACATTCCTTTGTTTAAAAAAATTTACAACTGTTTGCATTTTCTGATGCTTTCATTAAGGAGCTATTACGTATGTTTTATCCTGAAAAGGGGAGATTAGACAAGTCTTCATATGCATGCTGTAGTAAAGTCTGTTGGGTAGAACAAGTTTTGGCAGAGAAAATTAAAAAAGCAGCCTACAAAACACAGTGCATGAATTCCTCTCAACATTTTATTCTGCTTGTGTTTGATAAGCTACTGTAAATTTTAGAAGTCCATTAAATGCAGAAATGTAAAAACAGCATTCTTGCCGCTTTCATTTCTTATTACCAATGGGATTATTTAATGCTTCAACAAGAAATGTTTCAAAATACTGTATATTCATTTTTTAATCCAGAAAACTGAAGTAAACTATTAAGAAATGGCAGGTTCCATGGCACAGAATTACCTTACAATGCATTATTCAACTATACCTGTAAGAGGGCCAACATTCCAAGCAATGTTGTTGCACCAGCCGATAGCTTGAACCCAGTGCACAGTGCCAGCATTTATCCACACCAAATCCCCTGGTCTTTGAATAAATCGATAAACTGGGACATTGGCTTCATACAAATCCTCCAAGTTTGGCCACCAAGATCCCATTAGAAAATTCATATTGTTCCTGAAACAATGGGAAAAATAAAGCTGTCAGCATTTATCAGCATGTGTATTAGTAGTCAATACTTCAATGACATTACCTGTAAAAGTGATCACCACTGTCTATATTTTCAACATCTAATCCCTGACGCAGTAGGACTAGTCAGAAGGAAAGTTTCACCTACAGAAATCCTGATCCCAGTTCCCTGTTTTATATCCTGCAACATTAAAATGTTCAACCATCTGCTTATGTGAAGTGAGATGATGGCACAGAGTTAAGTTCTATTTTCCTTTCAATTTCCCAGCATTATTAATGCTGAGGTAGAGGAATTCTTGCTAGATCTAGCGTGACACTGGTGCAGAACGATGCTTTTTTTAACCTGTGACTGATTTTACACACAGTTCTTAAGAATGCTTTCAGTTTGGAACAATGCAAAACATGTACTCATGCTGTCAGTGTGAGCGTGCAAAACTCGTCCGCACAAGAACTTGTTGGCACCATCTCAACTGCTATTCACAGGTCTACGCTATGTTCAGACAGAAAATGCTACCCCTCCTGAGAAGCATTAAAAAAAAGCCTCCATATGGACTTCCTAACAATGAAAGCCTGAGTCTTCCAATATGGTCCTGTGAAATACATACATTCCTCCCTTCCTCATCCCAATTTTAGAGTGATTTTCTATTGCACCAGGAAAGACCACTGGCAAGTTTTCAAAAACCATTCAGTGCCTCTGTCCGGCACTCTGTAGAGTTTATGCGGTTACCAAATTTTTAGACTCCCTTTTAGTCTCAGAAAGGGCAGTGGCATGAGGGTAATAGGCCTATCATCATTACAGACGTTGCATTTTTGACAGTGGAATTACAATACCGAGGAGGGTAATCTTTGTAAAGGTTGATTAAATAAGAGCTTGTCAGTAGACAAGCAGAAAAGAGGTACTGATAAGAATATGCAGAACGCTGGGAAACTTCTGAAGAAAGCTGAGGAGTTTAGGTCAGTTTTTAAATGGGCAATGTAAAAAAAAACAAAACAAACAAACAAAAAAACACAACAAAAAAACCCAAAAAACCTCCCTTAAGATCAAATTAGATGGGACTCAACTGCTCCTAACTGCCTTTTTTTTTTTTTTTTTTTTAAGCACCCGTGCAACAGAAGGAGGAACAGACATAGAGGTGGACCACTGTTACCCAACAATCAACAAACCTCATTTTTAAGTAAGCTGCAAACTTGCAAGTATATGCAAAGCATGCTATGAAGCCTCCTGGAGTTCAGGTAAACTAAGCTCTCCCATTAGATGCAGCAAGAAACAATGCCAAAACACCAATGGCTGTGTAATTCCTTAAGAATGACACGTACATTAATCATAATAAAATTAACAACTTACAATACCAGAAAAACACCTCATTACTCCTAAAAAAACAAACCAACCAACCAAAAAAAAAAAAAAAAGAGACCTACCAAAACAAAAACCAGCTCCCTCACCCCCCAATTTTTCCATCACCCAACTGCAATGGTCCTAAAAGTAACCATAAAAGCATCACCATTTGGAAAGAGCAGATGGTACTATCAGGTTGTTGATAAAGAGGCTAGCCAAACAAAAAGGACTGAGATGGATTATCCAGTAATGTAAAGTTTTGGGAGCAAAGTTATCACTGAGCACCTAAGGCAATCCAAGCTCCTTCTCACTGCACAAATGCTATATCTTGCAAATATTCCAGATTTTACATTTTGACTTGTTATAAAAGACTTTTCAAACTACTTTGAAAAATTTCAAAGTATTCCAAACTTCAAATGGGTGGAAAACCCATTAAAAACTCACTTATAACTTGCCCTTCTCCCATTAGGTCTGAGAAAGACAAATGCAACTTGAAAAAAAACAGGGAACAGTATGCATGACTTACTTTTCACAAAAGTCATTCATGACACCCCAATAGCTTTCAGGAACAACAAACCATTCACAGTCACCTGGACCAATGTTTATATTTACTGAACAAAAGTTGTTGTTTTCTTGATGACCTGAAATTTAGAAAAAATAAACACGTTTTCTGTAAGGCTGATTTATCAAAATAACCAAGAAAATGCAAAGTAGGTTATAATTACTAAAAAAAAACCAAACCCTACATCACAGTTTCAGTTTCATAAACTTATTAAATGCAATATTTAGGTACTTCACAGTGTCAAGAAATGCAATTAAGTTCTAATAACAACAGAATTCTGCTTTTGTTAATTTGTGCAAAATAAGTTGGAACTACCAATCTGACTAATGAATCTGACTAATATTTCAGCTGCTTCCTTTCTGTAGAAATCAATGCTTCAAGTTGCTAAAGCTTACATAATGTGTTTGTGATAGCTTTTGATAATCTCATTTAGGAGAGAAACTTCATGACTTCAGGCACTAACAAACAAGTAGTAAGAAAATCTGTCCCAAGGAACTTTCAAAAATCGATGCAGAAATGCCAGATCTTACCTTCTTTTGACAGCTGAGGAGCTGAACCACAATCCCTAACATATTATCTGAAGTTGTACTTCAGCACTAACAGACTCTGGAACTTAGTCCAGAGGATGAGCAACAACAGACATGGAGAAGGATGAGGTGCTCCAATTCTTTGCCTTGGCCTTTGCTGGCAGTCAGCCTTCCCACATCTCTCACATTGCTGTACCTCTAGGCGCAGACTGAGGGAGCAAAAACACTCCCATGGGAAGCAAAAAGTTCAAGACTGTGATAAAACTGCATGTGCACAAGTCTCCGGGGTCTGACTGACATGCATGGCAGTGTACCAAAGGAACTGGCTGATGTACTTGCTAAGTCACTCTCCATCACAGCTATCAGGTGAAATCCCCGGTGACCTAAAAAAGGGAAACTTCACTCCCATATTTTAAAAGGGTAGGAAGAAAGATCCGGGAAACTACTAGGCGGTGAACCTCACCTCTGTGCCTGGGAAGATACTGCAGTAGATTCTCCTGGAAGCTATGTTAAAGCACAGGCAAGAGAAGGAGGTGATCAAACACAGCCAGCACAGCTTCATAAGGGCAGGTTGACCAATCTGATGACCTACTACAATGGAGTGACAGCACTAGTGGACAAAGGAAGAGCAACAGATGGTGTTTACCTGGACTTCTGCAAAGCCTTTGATATGGTCCCACATCACATCCTTATATCCACATTTGAGAGACGTGGATTTGAAGGCTGGACTATTCAGTAGATAAATAGTTGACTGGACGGTCACAGCAGGGGGTTGTGGTAAACAGTTCTATGTTCAAGTGGAGGCATCCACCAGGAGTCCACCTTGGTATTAATGCTCTTTACTATCTTTATCAATGATCCAGATGGTGAGACTGAGTGCACCCTCAGCAAGTTTGTAGATGATACCAAGCTGAGTGGTGCAAATGACACAACAGAATGAATGGATGCCATTCAACAGGGCCTGGATAAGCTTAAGAGGTGGGCCCATGTGAACCAAATGAGGTTCAACAAGAAAAAGTACAAGGTGCTTCAGTTATGTTGGGACAATTCCATACATGTGTACAGACTGAGAGAACTAATTGAGAGCAGTCTTGGTGAGAAAGACCTGTGGGTCCTGATGGACAAATAGCCAAATGCAAGCCAGTAGTTTCCTGTCTGGAAGACCAACAGTATCCTGGGCTGCACCAAGCAGGGTGGCCAGCAGGGCAAAGGAGGCAATTGTCCCCCTCTGCTCTGCCCTTATGAGGGTACAACTGAAAGTACCGTGCCCAAGCCTGGGGCCCTCAGCACAAGAAAGATGTTGCAGCTGTTGGAGAAAGTCTGAAGGAGCCAACAAGGATGAAAAGAGAGAGGGCTGGAGCACCTCTCCCAGGAGGGAGCATGGGGAAGTCTCCAGGGAGACATCACTGTGACTTTCCATTACTTAAAGGGAACTTACAAACAGGAGGGAGACTTTTTGCATGGTTCAATAGTGATAAGACAAGGGAGAAGGGTTTTGAAACAAAACAGAAAAGATTCAGATTAGATATTAGGAGGAAATTCTTTACTCAGGGAATGGTGAGACACTAGAATAGGTTGCATAGAGAAGCTGCGATGTCCCATCCCTGGAGGTGTTCAAGGCCAGGCTGGATGGAGCCCTGGGCAGCCTGGTCTAGTTGGTGATCCTGCTCATGGCAGGACGGTTGGAATTAGATGATCTTTAAAGTCCCTTCCAAACAAAGTCATTCCATCGTTCTGTGATCTCCCAAGCCTCAGTCAAGTGCCTGTACTGGGTTTGGCTGGGATGGAGTTTATTTTCACTAAACATCTGCGTACCAATAGGAAGCAGTGAATGAATTCCTTATTTTGCTTGACTTGCATGCACAGCTTTTGCTTGACATATTATAATGTCTTTATCTCAACCCAAGAGTTACCATGCTTTTATCTTTCTGATTCTCTTCCACATTCAACTCGGAAGGGTGTGAGTGAGACGCTGTGCAGCGCTTAGTTGGCTATTAGGGTTAACCTACAGTAGTGTCATAGCACAGCACTACCCATTATGAAGCCCTATTCTCAGACAGCAGTGAACAATTTCAAAAGTATAGGGATTACTATGATTATACAAGACCTACTTGGGAAGTCTGTAAAAACTTTCAAGGCACGCCAATTACAAACTTGGTTCAAGTATATGAACTCATTCTTCTCCCCTTAAAAAATCTGGAGTCCAGTGTTACATGCAAGAGATTAGAATGACAACTATCAAGCATTACAGAAATTCAGAAATTTCTCCTGAAAGATAATTTAGTGCTTTGTACATGCAGATTCAGTTAATCTAGAAATTAAAAAATAATGACAATGTACTTCATTATCATATTTATGCCTGCTATAAAATACAGAAAACCTGCAGAGCAGATAAATTAATTCGATAGCAGTAAATTCCTTTGTTTGTTTTTTTTTTTTCCATACAAAAATTATACTCACCTGGTGTTCTGCTTCCTGGAACCTTCATGTACAACTGCACTGTGTTCATGCCCAGGATGGTATGACCAACATGGCTTAGAAGATTTCCTGCTGATACCACACGTACAAAAGCAGGAAGTTTTGTCAGTTCATGGAGTTGCAACTTCCACCTGCAGCAAAATAGCAAATTGACAAACTGTGAATCCCTGAAACTCTTAGAACTGAGTTTGGGAAATACAAACATTTTCAGAAAATTGTTATCATAGGAGATGAAGGAGTAGACGACTCACTGCTGTATAATTTAGCATCTTTTAGAAGGGAAGTTTATAGAACGCAATAACCTTACTTGACAGCTAGAGAAATTTAAACGTGAATTTATTTTAACTGTGAACTAGAAGACCTGGTGACCTAACTCAATCTTGCAGTTATTTAATCTGGTGCTATATCACAAGAAAACTGCTTTTAGTTTACACCTTGGTGTATATCATATATCTTTTCTGTAAACACGACGGTCTGCTTTTCCCACACTCTTAAACCAGTCAGAAACTGTTACCGATGCTTTCGAGAGCCAAATGATATTATGTCATGACATCTGCTAGGAAGACTGTCTGAACATAGTTTGACTTGCAGACATGATTGCTATAACCAGGAGTGAAGTCAGCTGTATGCACGTGCCATGGAACTGAATGCTTTTATTAGTGATAATATCTCTAAATACAAATTCTCCAAACTTATGTGGGGCTCTGTAATGTCACACAGATATCTGTGCTACCCCTTCAATTCAAAAACATTTCCAAATACAATCCTGAGTATGACAAGCCAGTTCAGGGAAAAACTGCTTTGTATCAGAACTTGAGACTGAAAATCAGATGTGGAATGTATGTGTGATTCTATGAGATTTATTTAAAGTATCAAAATACAATTTCTGTGAACCTCTGGTTAGTCATTCCCAGGTTAGGGTCAAAGTCTTTCCAAAAGGATTGCTCTAAGGGTTAGTTCATTGGCAGTAATTTTGTAATACAGAATTTTGTTTAGAGAAATATAAGATCTTATTTTAAATTTTACAACAATCTCTAATCACGTATGTATACACACAGAATATGTGCAAAAAATTCAGTAGCATCCTCCAATTTCCAGTACTATAACCTTTTCTCCTGTTCTCCTAACTGAAGTGGATCAGAATTTTACTACTGCAGTGGGTAGAACAGTAATAGCACGCACTTCCAAAAAAGATCCAAGCAGAGACTGAACTAAATAAAAAATTATTACTGGACAAAAACAAAAAAGAATGCTTTCAGTGTACTTCTGAAACTTTATGAAGTTTTTCTGAGCCATTTTCCTTATTTCTTGGTCTCACAGAAATCTCTCATCTGAAGAATTCTCTGTATTCCCCTTACGCTTCTAATTTTATCATGGCTTTTCCACTCATAGTCATCAATTCGGACTTTGCTACATACTCTGAGCACTGCTTCTGAATAGAGAAGCAAGAGCTAAGAGAAAAAGGAAACAAAATAAATGAAAATAGGTATAAAAGGGGGAAAAAAGGGAAAACAATTTAAAGCATCGGAATGAAACAAATGGAATATATTAGAAGTATTACTGGAAAGAAAAGTGACTGATGGAATTTAAAAGTTCATTACTGAAAAATTAAAGATACTGGGAAGACAAACTCAAAAACAGATTTTAAGGTAAGAGGGATTTATAACAACAATTTAACAAAAGATTAAAGGTAACATGGCAATACAGCTTGCAACTGGAATTGGGATTATCAGGAAATAACTGTCTTCTGAGAAGAATTCGCTTTCCAGAAGCATTAGCTTTCCAGAAGAAGCGTAACAGTGCAGAATACCACTGTGGGCAAAAGAAACTGCAATCAAACTTACTTTTTGTCATCTGACAGGTCAATGTTGGTCCCAAACTTGATTGTTTTAAAAGGTCCTCTTCTCCTCCTCCCAGAACTGTAAATATAAGAAGTAGTAGTAGGTGGATGTGCAAATAGGAATAGTGTAAAAATACACACAAATGTAACTGTAAAATTACCATATTTATACCACACTTACTTATCTGAAGATGTGGATTCATTATCTGAGTGGTCCTTGTGGTGACTCTTTTTTTCATTTTCCTCCTAAAAATGCAATTGTGAAAATGCTATCATTTATTTAAACAGTGACATCTAAATAATTTAAATATTAAAAAGAATATTCATAAAAATATAGGCACACAGAAGTATGAAGTAATAACATTTGTTTGAAAACGGTGGTACAACGTTTAAAATATCTGCATCCAGGGTCTCATGCGAATGCTGCCACTAAGAAAATAAACATTATTAGTCAAAAGCTGTTGCAAAAAATCTTTGTGATAAAAATTCTGTGAGGTTCAGGCCAGGACAACAGGAAATTTCTACACTGTAAACTCTTTTGCTAACCTATATTAGAGTTACAAATTTATGTGCTGGGTTCGCTTCATTATGTAGGTAAAAAGAAATCCAATCTAACATTTTTAGACCAGAACATTTATCTGCCTTCAAAGTTAAACAGGTCTCCTGATGCGAAAATAGGCTGACTAATATTTATAAAATTCATTTTACAATATCCATTATACAAAGTTCTTTGAATTTTTAATAGCCATCTGCTATTTTAGCACTGCAGTAGCTAGGACCGTGACTAGTGGAAAAAGTCTAACCAGCATTAAGTGATGTAATTTCATCTTTTTAGTACAGTGGGCTCAAAGTTCGGTTTTAAAAACTTCCTTTTTCACAAGTATACAGGCATAGAAGGAGAAAGTAAGACAAAAAGCAGGAAGGAACTGCCTGGATGCTGTCCAAAGACTCTGTGCTTTGAATGAGGCAGTTGTTAGACATCAAAGTGCCCTATGTACCTGAGAAAGTCCTATTCATCCTTTGAACGAAGGACAAAGAGGAACAAAAAAGGATTGAGCAATGATGACTTTATGAAATACTGTAAAACGTGTTAGAAAAGCAACGTTATAGTTGTTAGAGGGGGGAAAAAAAGGTCACTTAAGGCAACTCAAGAGAACTGTATCTGTAGAAAGGAGAAACTCAGCTTTCAATTGAACACTGAAAAGTCATCCAAGGACAGGTCACTGCAGTGTTAGGAAAAAGGAACACAAACAAAACAATGCCATTTTGATTTTTGAGGAAAAAATGAAAATTGACGTTATGAAAACTATTTTATGTACTACATTTTTATCACCACTTTGTAGCAGAGGAAAAAACAACACAGAAAATACTGCAGTTGCTTCTTGATGCAAAAACAAAGCTGAGGCTTTCCTGCTGACAGGAGTATATGTAATCAACCACATACTTTATTAAAAGTTAGCTCTTCTGTAGTTTTATTTATACACAATGTTCTCCTCCAGAATGATGCTTAAGAACAAAACATTGGTGCAATTCTTTGAGAAAAATCCCATTCATGACTGGTTAGGCCAAGCCACACACAAACAGGGAGGCCCAGCTCTCCGTGCTTCCCGCATGGTATTCCTGTGTCTTTTCCTCATCTTGTATCAATCTGGCTTAGAATATTTAACTACTCTCCCTTTTCCTTTTTCCAACCACAGATACATTTCTTTGCTTCTAATCCCTTCCAGTAACGCAAGAAATTAGGGAATTTCTCTTTCTTTTCTTAATGAAATCATCACTGTTTTTGTGTAATGGCAGTGAAAACTGAAACGGTCAATTCTCCACTTTTTCTCCTTTTTCTAATACACAAGTGATCAATAATACCCTTTGTCTTTGTTCCACCTTAATCTAGTCTTTCCAAAGCACTCAGTAACATAAGCCTTAGATGAGTGCCTTTATCTAATTCGAAGTATGTGTTCACTACTTAACAAAAATATTGAAACTCAGTACCAATGAAGTATAATGTTTGCAATACTGTGAACATTTTACTCAGTTCTGTATGTCTAACAGCTCCTAAAATGTTAAATTTGGAACCCATCAGTAACTAGTACAGGAAGCATCAGTTACTCTTCTGAAAAAAAGTTTCTACGATGTTTTAAACAGTTGTATTAAAGGTATGAGCGTAAACTTCTAATAAGTCACATTCAAATTAATTCAGGTTACAACAAAGAATGAAGTCATGCCTAAAATTTGAACCAATATGACTGAAAAAAAAGAACATCTGAAATTTTTAATATTTCAATATTAATTTTGACATCACTATAAGAAGGCTTAAAGCTAACAAGCTTTTAAAATACGTAACACTAAGTAGCTTTATATTAAGAAAATGAAGTCTATGTTAAGCAGATGAGAGAACATCCTGTATAGTATTTAACGCTCTGTTTAAAATAGACTGTAAATTCATCTGTGCTTTTCATGCTGGTAGGAATGTCTCCATTTCTTGAATGACATCTGGACTTCTTTTTCAAGAGATTTTACTAACTGAGCTTAATTCCAGAGTTAGTACACAGGCCACAAAATTCTAATTTACATAACAGCAATATATTTACCCTTAAAGACTCCTGGAATGAGGAGGCCTGGTACTGTGCATATTTAGCAATTGTTGTATGAGATCTACTGCTTTCACAACGCCAGATTTTCTTTGTTCCAGTGGGGTCCCAGTTTTCATCTGCTGGCTGCAGTAGTTGTGTCCTCACTTCTACTACGTGTTCGTTATTTGCTTCTACCAATGTCTTAGTAGAGAAGAGTCCTAGATCTAATAAATAAGAAAAAAAAGTCACAAATGGCTGTTAGTATATGACAAGAAGGTTTAGAAGAGATGATATTAATACTTAACATTATCTGATTGATTTATAACATATATACAAACACATGCATACACATATATATATGAAATGTTAGGTAATGCTCAAGAGGCTTTTCTAAACAACAGCAGAAGCCTAGAAAAACCTTGACAGCTATTTTACAGACCATATTCCAACTACAAATCCATAAAAGCATGTGTAACTCAATTAACAAATATTTTTCAGAAATTAGAGCTCTATGAATGTTCACGGTGACATCACTAAATCAAAGCACAAAGCCACATAGGCATAGTTCTCACAAGAAAAAATTTCTGCATATAAGCTCCCATACCATCAGCTCAGTTTCTGTCTGTGATCAACACTATCTGATGGAAGTTGGCTTTTTTTTTTTTTTTTTAAAGTTGATCTAGGTTAGCAATAGCAGTGAGCTAAGTGACATGTTCCCTTAATTACTCTAAACAGAACAGTAACGCAGTACGAAATATCCACTTTTGAGAACTGAGAAACATCATTTAAATATATATCTATTTTTACAAAGAAAATGTAACCAAATTAAAGTTACCTAATTTAAGCGCTCCAGCAAGGCCACGTATTACAGTAACAGGGTTGTTTGGATTTGTACAAAATTGATGTAAAGGTGGAAAGAAAGCGTCTCGTTTATTTTCCAACTGTAAAATTACAATGCAATATTAGATATCAGATGAGGCTGGACTTCTTGTTTGTAAAATAAGAAAGAACAATAAAAAATGTGAAACAACAGAAGGAAGACAGGAATTTCATTCATTTCTTCACACTGAGGGCATTGAATAGCAACATCATACAACCATTTCCACGTTGTAAGCTGGGTTTACTCCTTCTGAAATTAATTCGTTATTGTAATTTATTTCTTGGCATGAATTATTCCCAGGTTGCTTCGGCTTTTGCAACTCAGGTTTCCTGCAGTTTATTTCTTTATCTGACAGCAGCCCCGTAAATTCTCTAAATCTGCAGAATTCTCTGAAGAGCAAGATAATGTACTAACGTTCTTTTCAGAATTTAAAAAACTAATCCCGCAGATAATGTATACAAGAAGCAGTATAATTAAAAAGTGCACTCTCAGAGTATATCTCATGTTAACTGGAAAAATTGATTTCTTTTTCCTACGCTTTTGTAAATCTACAACCTCGATTTTATGCTGCAGTTTCTCCTCACTTTTATTTTTAATTGCTACGAATCTTTTAAAATCCTGCAGACAGACTGTGAACAAAGTATCAATGACACTGTAGACAGAGACTGTATATATGCTGAAGACATCTCTTTCAATAAACAACACAGTTCCTAAATACCAGACCCATGTTTGCACATCCACATCCAGAATGCTGCAACATGGGATTTATCAGCTTTGCAAATACTCAATGAAGCTACAACAGACTCTTAATTAGGAAGATTAACTCAGGTTCAACACTAAGAGCAGCACTATTGCTTCCAACATAATCCAGTGCTTAAGCAGACTGCTTGGATTGCAGCACACAAGTCTGCCAAGTGCTTCTGGTCCTAAAGTTCAGCTGAGCAAAGCTATCCTGAGGTTTTTATGCTAGCTGAATGGGCACACTACAGTTTACAATTTCATTATTAAGAAAGTTACCTACAAATGCTGCATAAAGCTATTACAGAAGTTTATTTCTGGAACAGGAGTTTCAATGGATGCATAAGAAAAAAAAAAAACCTACCTTAAAAAGCAGTTTGATTCAATGATGTTTGTAGGCCCCTTCCAACTGAATTATTCTATTAATAAAACTTTTATTTTCCTAACTGATGACATTTTGTTGTTACAATCATCTCAGCTCATATTAATTTTCCCTACAATATTTTGAAATAGACTGTCAGGAAAGTTCAGTTTAATCATTTGCTTTCTTATCACTGAAACTGTCATTTGCAAAAAATGTACAAATACACCTAAATTGCTGTGTATTATAACTCACAAACTATTTTTGCCTATTCCATCAGTACTATAAATAATAAATAAGCCTAATTTTTTGAAGCTGTTCTTCACTCACAACTGCACAAGTCTAACATTTTCCCTCTTCATACACTGTAACTAGAATTCAGCTCTGAACACTGCATCTTTGAAATAACTGCATAATGTAATTCAGATACTCAAATAATTAACAGGACACAGTCAGCAAATTACTTCTACTTTACTTACATAAATACTAGGTGTAGGTGGATTCAGCTTGTCCTTTGGCAAGGGAGGGTATGGTGGAGGCGGTGGTCGTGGAGGTGGGCATTTATCCAATAGAATACTACTGTTAGATAAGCCATTTTTACCCAGATTCCTAAAAGGAAAGAAGAGCTGTCTCTATCAATACTTGACAAATACAACAAAAAAAATTAGTGTTATCTTTCCTGCAAAATAACAGTAACTAGAAACTGAAGTGTTATCTTTTCTGCAAAATAATGACAGTAACTAGAAACTGTAATTCAAGATGCAAATAAAGCTCATATATATTTTAATAGAGTATTCTCACTGTATAAATTGATATTATTCAAAATCATTCCAATTTTCCCCTCCAGTCTGCAATGTCATCACCACTAGTTAAAAATAAAGCCTATTTAAACAAAAGCTAGCATGACTCATTTGACCAAATCTAACACAGAAAGCAGTTTTCAAATAGAAACAGAAGAACCTTACTAGGCTGGCACTGGCTGGTGGATAAAGAATTCACAGCAAGTGAGATAGTGCAGTCTGGTAATACTATGCACAGCACTGTAACAGAGTAGTGGCAAAATGATAATTCCTCAGCAAGAAGAATAATGCTGGAGTCACAAAAATAGAAACATACAACACTAAATTATACAGCCACCTATCTACCTCTCCCTGACTTCCACATTTTGAAGCTAGAAGGAACCACCATTACTTCACCATATTGCTTGGAAAACACAGGAAAGAACTACTCTTGCTAAGCTGTTGTTTCAACACCTGCACTTGTACCTGAATCAGGACCTTGCTTGGTGTAATTGCTAATCTTTCTCTGGAGGTTTTGAGGCATGGACAGCCTACTGTATGCATGTCAGCTTCTTCTATTATGAATGACTTTCAGCGCTGAAAATGACCGCAGAGATTGAGAATCCACAATTTCTAGTCACCATCACCAGGTCCTCATTAACAGAGATATCCCCTAATTTTGGTTGTTTGTTAAAAATAACCGAACTGCTTTAAATTTCTTCCAACTAATATTCAAATCTTTCTTCCAACCCCATTTAATTCATTAGCTACTGTTCTTACCATTTCTCAGTGCTCCAGGATATAAGATGTGCTAAGGCGTGATTCAGTCGTTTATCCTCATAGAACTCACTAGCTACAAAAATATGTCCTGATAACCAAGGTTCTTCAACAGAAAACACAGCTGCCACAGTATTAGGTGAAACTTCTATCAATATAGCTTGTAACAAACACAGAAACTGTGATTAGCACTGAGAAACATCCTAGAGCTTAATGCTGGCATGTGAGAGCATTATTTCAAATCAAGCTATTACGAACCATGAGTAAGAAGGACTTTGGGCTTAAGATCACAACAGACTGACTGTTATGACAAATACTTTAAAGAACAAACATCACATGTACCTCAGGCTGTAGCAAAGACGAGCATCCAGAGAAATTGTTGCTCATCATGACAAGGAACAATTTAAACTTAAACCAGATTTCTATCTCCTACACTTCTATCCTCTGATGGGAGATCAGAGCAATACAGACAAAGACATACTTAACAAGTGTCTCAAAAGATGTCAGACAAAATTCCAAACACAGCTATTCACTGTGCTAGGTGAGCCTAATTCCAAAATAGATTACAACCTCAAAGGAACTGAAAGAGATGCTTTCAGCAGAAGATTTGATGAGGCATCATGCAATTCGACAAAATGTCACTGACCTGTGTTTAATGCCTGAGACAGTTCTTGCAAAGACACTACACTGCTGCCCCACAGGGGGAAAAAAATGGAAAAAAAACCACAGAAATGTGGCAATATAAAATCACCACTACCCAAAGAAACTTATCAATGATGGCTGTGAGAATCTGAGATTCAAGAATATACCTGCAAGACAAAACTAAAATCAGAAGAGTGGATATTAGGAACTATAATCTTTGCATCAAGAAACTGAAAAATAAACTCAAGGAAAGCAAATCCACAGCATTAATATCCAACAGAACTATGGAAAAAAATCAGTTTGAATTGAGAAACAGTTCTCAGGCACTATCTGATACAAGAAAGAATAGGAAGACGGAAGCTGAAGAAAAAGGACAACACCCAGAACTACTGTGATTCAAGTCACTTGAGGTCAGCGACACACAGCAAACACTTGGTAAATTCAGAGTACATAGGGTCTTCAGGGAAGAGAGGCAGCAGAGACAGGAGAGACTGCTGTATGCCTAGAGAAATTACACATTTGAAAAGTGAAAGAGATGCTGAAGAAAGCAGACAATACAGAGAAAAAGATCAGACGAACAGAGGAATCTCAAAGTCAATGCTTAAAGCTGATACTACAGCAAATGACCCTGCAGTTTCCTATTAAGTTACTAAAACCCTCTGCAGAAATTTCAAGAGGAATAGGGCCAGAAAAAAAAAAGCTGAGACTTGGAAACACTTGTAATTCAAGTGGCATGGGAAACAGATGGGCAGAATCTTAAAAGTTGTCTTTATCAGACCCGTTTCACTCATCTATTTTTTTCTGACCATCAATCAGAATAAGTTACTATTAACAGCAACAGAAGATAATTACTAAAGCATAACACTGTAATTGACAGTGTGCAAATCAGAGTGACACAAATCATAAAACAAACAACAGCAACTCTGGAGAAATACTAAATAAAATAGACTTGATACTGGCACCTGAAACAAAATAGTCTATCTATTCACTGAACATCTCCAACAATGGAAATACAGAACTGTGGCCAGCACAGGGAAAGTAAAAGATCGTTTTTGACCACAGGGATTGTAGAGAAAGCCACACATCACTGTTGCAATCATGTAATTTTTTTTTTTTACAGGATTTCACAGGGGCTGAAAGAGGGAGCAAATGCAAAAAACAAGCCTAACTTAGGCCTTGAGAAGAAAATGCAAGCCCAAATAGTCACCTATAATGCCATGATGGAAGAATGAGCAGAAGGACAGGTTTCATCCATCACTGCTTTAAACTGCATTTTCACAGGCTGTACAGGCTGCAAAACATCCTTCATTCCCACAGAGTCAAGAGTAGTTAGTTGTCAGCCTCACAAAGGTAAGGACAGAGATGTGAATGATGTGCAGCACCTCCTGGAGCCAAAACTGCAGCTCTCAGCCCACTGCCAATTGCTTGACAGGTAAAAGCCACAAATCACCTAATTGTTTTAACCCGTGGATCAAAGTCAAATTGTCAGGCTTATGAGTGACACCAACTGCAGTAGATGAAATAGGTGCTTGAATTTTATATGATGAACGGATCTTTTGAATAAACAATCACCAGATTCACTATAACACCCCTGTTTCATTTTATTGCTTTCTAGAATATGTTCCCTCACCTTCTAAAAATGCTTCACACTCCTTTCCTCCCACGGCACAACTTCACATCTGGCTGTAACAAAACACATTGTTTCCCAGAAACACAGGTGTGAACCAGTTTGCTCTGCAAGTGGCCTGTATTCTTCATCACACAGCACTCTGCAGTCTCTGATTTCAGCAAATATTAACAAGTAACTTCACTTTATCTATGGATTTCCGACAAATGAAGATTGATAGTACAGCCTGGTAAGCCTCCATCTGCCTACCACACTCTTTCCTATAGTTCACTGTTTTCACTGCATGGGTAAGGAACCTGGTTGCTCCTTCTGAAGCTGCCATGGCTCCATGCCACGCATGATGGACACTAACTGCTTCACTCCCCACTTGTAGCCCTACATCATGAGGAAAAACAAGGCTGAAATCAGATCCCAGGGCAACATCCCTGAAACTCCACTCACCCCAGTAACGATGACATTACAGATATCAGTTGGTTGCTATACACTTCAATAGATATTGTATTGACTTTGCATCACGCTAGCTTACTAACGAAGATGTTATGCAAGCAAGAAGCAAAATGTGTTAAAAAGCTGTATTAATTTTAACTGTTTTACTTTAAAGATGCTAAGCTACATGAAGGATATTGTAGTTAGCATAATACTTATTTTCCATGAGCCAGAACTCATTGTCATTAATTACTACCCTTTACATTTATTAAATTAATCACCTGAATGATTTTGTTATTTCACCCAGGCCTAATGCCAGACTGCCAGCATTACATTCTCAGTAGTCATCCCACTCTGAAATCAGTCTCATGGAAATTTTCAAGTCCTGTGCAACTCTTTCTGTTTTCTAACAACTATCAAAAACCTGTACGCGTGATCAACAACAACTCCTGCCTGCTCTTTCACAGCTCAAGGACATCTGCTATCTGGGCTTCTGACTTAAAACCATCACATAAGGGTTCAATGTCCTCCTCTCTGAACACTGTGCAAAACAGAGAGCGGGTTATCGTGCATCCCACAATGTAAACATCCTATCTGCCTTTTTCCCAAGATCTCAACAAAAATATTTAGTGTCTTCTGCCTCCGTATTGACTATTCAGTATCTCTGATCAGAAACACTTGGCATTACTGGTTTTTGCATGTGTGTTTCTTGTATTTCATTCCTGGCTATAGTTTTCTCTTCTAAGCTTTTGCTAGGAGTTTTCTAGAACTCTTAGCTTCTACTTTAAAGCATTTGCTCCTTATCTTTTTTAAAAAGATTGTGACTTTTTGAGATCAGTGAAAAAGCTCCTGAGCAATTTCCAGCTATCTATGCATTTGCATTTAAGGTACAATTCACAGGCCACATTACAATCATTTGCACATAAGCAGTTATTTTTGTTGTGAAGTCAGTTTAAGTGAATTATTATTTGAGGATTAGCTGCATGAGAATTAACAGGGTTTTATCGTTCAGGAGATTATAGTTACTCTGAAGAACAAAATTAATACCCTCTCTTTCTCACATAAAAATCACATTTAACATGAATATAAGGAACAGTGGATTTATGTGATATTGTATCTTAAATCCATTGGAATTACTCAACATGCAGAGAATGAAAAAAACATTTTAAAAATGTGCTTGCAGAAGAAAGCTGATCCACTGGGATGCACAGTACTTAACTGACCTAACCCTGATGCAAAATAGAAAGACTTAGTCTTCCTTAACAATTAGTGGATATAACTAATTTCTTTCACGGGGCAAAAACACAGGAAAATGGTTATCACCACTCTTCACGCTGGGAATGAGGTGACTATTCACA